ACTGAGGGTTACTGGAGGGGTTGTGAGAGGGGGGATGGGCTAAAAAGGTAAGAGGCATTAAGGAATCTACTCCTGAAATCATTGTTGCACTATATGCTAACTAATTTGGATGTAAATTTTAAAAAATAAAAAATAAAACAAGTTTAAAAAAAGTAATAACAGTAATAATGATAATGGATTATATCTCATTTGATAGATAGATAGATAGATAGATAGATAGATAGATAGATAGATAGATAGGTAATTTTTGAGATGATGGAGATGAGAGAGAGAAACAGAGACAAAGAGACAGAGATAGGAGCAACAGCAGCTCTTCTTTACAAAAGAATGCCAGATAATAAATGCAGAAGAAATGACAGGGTTAGAGTCACCATTTTTTGCAATCCTCAGTGTAATAACAAATACAAGCAGAGATCATCAATGGAAGTAAAAACCGCTAGGTAAAACATTATTGGGAGCAAATAATCAAAGATCTTAGGCTATCACACCACAGCTTACTTTAAATTGCAAAGGAAAGATCTGATGGACTCCATGTTAACCAAGTGATCTAGCCTAGTTTCACCAATAAAGGGACAAATGTGCATTACTGGCCTGCCAGTGTAACACAGTGGGAAGTACACAACATCCTCTATGTAGCGGTCTTTTCCAAAATGTCTGGACTGAATCTAATAAACTATGGAAAGATCCAGAATGTGGGACATTCTACGTAACAACTGCCCTGACACTTCATAATGATCAATGTCATGAAAAACAAAGTGGCAATGATAAAATGGGGACCTGTTCAAGATTTCGAAAGATTAAAGAAACTTAACAAACAAATGCAATGGAGGGGTCCTGATTAAATCCTGAATCAGGACAAAAATATATATGTAAAAGACATTTTGAGGGAAAAATGGGAAAAATTTAATATGGACTGCATAATAGACAACACTGTTGTGGATGTGTTCATATGGCCCTCTAGAAGAATTCTTTATTTTTAGGAAATGAGTGTTGAATTATTTAGAGCGAAAGTGTCATGATATTTGCAAATTGCATCAAACATTTAAGGAAAGAAGAGAAAGGGATAGAGTAAATATGGCAAAATGATAAAAAGTAGTGAATCTAGGGAAAGGGCACACAGATTTCCACTGTACTTTCTTTGAACTTGTCTGTAGGTTTGACATTATTTTTTAAAAATGGAAGAAAATAAAGCTTACATAATAAAAATGGGGAAATTATGCAATGTTAAGTGAAAAAAATAAGGACATAAAATTGTGTATACCACAATTATAGCTATATAAAAATAAGAACAAGAGAAATTATCTTTATTCATTTCAACATTTGTTAAGCTCCTGCCACATGACAGGCTCTGCACTAAATGATGAGAGTACCCTGCTCCCCTACAGACTCCTGATTTTATGGTGTAATGCTTAAAATGCAAGACTTTGAATCTGGCAAACCTCACCCAAGTCTCAGAGAGCTTGCTGTGATGACCTCACCTCCATATCCTTGGTTCATAGCAAGTTCCTTGGCTTCTACGAGGTGCTCAACAGCCTGCTTCCAGGAGTCCGTACCCTGGTGACGGAAGAAAGTGCATTAACAGATCAATTAAAACAACAGGAACTGCAGGGTGCACAAAAGGTAGTTTTAAAATTATCATTTAAAGGCTACCTTTATCATAACCTCTCCCCTCCTCATCTAGCATTTATTCGCGTTCTTCACCACCATGAATCCTCTCTCTTATGCTGCTTCCTACCCCATCACCTTTGCTCAGCTCATGCTGACCTCGTAGCTTAGAGTGACCTTTCACTCTTTTGCTTCATCTGTCCAAATCCTACCCAGCTCAGGTCTACCTCCCCCAAGAAGACTGCATCTTCTGTGTAAACTTGATTGATTCCATTCCCCTGAGCTGTCAGCAGGTTAACTCCATACTTTTTAAACATATGGGCCTTCATGTGACACCTACCATTGTAAGCATTTTTTTACAGGTTTCAGAGCATGTTCATTATCCATCATCTCCCCAATCCTCACACAACAATTATGCCCTTTGCAGATACAAGGGAAATGAGGATCAGTTGCACTGAGTATCTTGCCCAGAAATCTGGCTAGAGCCCACAACTATTGGACTCCTTAGTGTCTCCCACAGCCAAGTGTGTGTATGTTTGGGGGTGGGGTGTGGAGACCAGCAGCATCTGGATAAACGGTGAGCCTGTTAAAACTACAGTCTAGGACCCCACCCCAGCTAGACCTGCAGAATCAGAAACTGCAGTTTATCAAGTTCCCTAGGTGTTTCACGTTCACATTAAAGTTTGAGAAGCGCTGTCCTATAATGCCAACCAGAATATGCACAAAGCAGAAAGCCAACAAATATTTCCAAACCTGGGCCCTGGGATTCCGAGGGGACTCGCAGGTTTGCCATCACATCCTTTTCTACTACCCCACCTTTGAGCCCCCTTCCCTTTGGGGCCTCATGTGGCTCTTTGCTCCCTCACATGGCAGATGTAAGCCCAAGGGTGAGAGAGAGACTGAGGCAGTGCCAGGGGGGATGGATGATGATGAGGTGAAGCTGCTACCTTCCCAGCAGAACCAAAAGCAAATATTGGTGTTGGCTTCAGGGCTACATTATTTCTGTGCAGAAACTGGCTTTATTTCTAAGACAAAAATGCCTATCGCTCGAGCATCTGAGCCTCCAGAGGATAAGGGGTTTGTGATAGACAACATTGGAACTGTTTCTAGACTTGATTTATTGACTTGTCTGTTTCTATTCTGTCACTAATCTGATTGACAATGAAACCCGGGATTTGATTGAAGGGATTTCTGCGTGTGTACGCGTGAGGCCGTCAGGGCCGAGTGGGCCTGCTCCAAGCTGGTGCGCCCGTGGATGGGAGACGTTTGCGTGAGAGCTGTTTGCATGTGAGGAAGGCGTGTGTGGAAACGACACGGGAGAAGTGGGTGTCACTAGGGAGTTGATTATCTATGATGTGAGATGTGTCTGCCTGGATTGGGAAGCAATGCAGTGGGAGCATTCGGATGGGAGGAGGTAGGTGGGGCTCCCATGGTACACAGAAGAGAGGCGGTTGTTAAAGACACATCTTATGGAACAGCCCCTTCTCTCGCCCTCCCTAGCTTTACCTCCTGGGATATTTTCCAGTTAGGAGGCCTTGGGGGAAGGGAGGGGAGGGACGGGAGGCGTCCAAGGGCCAGGTCCCCAGGAGTGTGAGACGCCGCTCGTGAGCTGGGAGCTGGGGAGGGGGAACAGATGGAGACAGGTGCGCCCCCACAGGGGCACGTGTGGGGACACGTGGAGGTTTCACCTTCAGTCCAGGATTCGCATCCCCTGCCCTGGGGACGCGCACTTACTTCTCGTGCGTCCACACCGGCTGGAAACCCGCACCCCCTCTTCTCCTCCCTGGCGAGGGGCGGGGGG